AAGTTAAATTGATTATTTACAACAGATGTTAACATCTTACAGTATTCTCTCCGTAAATGTTAAAAAAATCTCTACCGTAAATGTTAAAATTCGATCTCCACTGCTGAGGGGATCCCCCTCGAAAATCAATCAAAAATGAAACACGATCAGTCGCCGAAACGACAAGGATCGAATATCGGTGAGACACACACTCATACAAGGAAAGGAAAAGATTGCAACTTTCTTATTTCGTACTATTCTTCCATGAAACTTTTACTGTCGTATTCATCTAATTTTCCTTATTTAAATGACAACAAACATGATATAATTACGTTAACAATTGCGTGTGTAACGAGTGATTAAAGTTTTTAACATAAAAGAGGAAGGCGAATGGAAAAGAAAGAGAGGCAGAAGGTTGAAGCGTTCGGCAAACATGAAAGACTCTGAACGTGTTCTGTCTTTTAAATTCAAAAATCAAAATTCTTTATTTTTGGTTTTTCGTCAATGGTGTCAAAATTTACGAAGGAGGTTAGGGCTGGTTACGAAGAAAGAATTGATACGTGTTTTAGTTTATTTAATACTATAAATACTTTATTCAAATAGAAGGAAAGATCTTTAACGATAACAAAATAAAATTAGTCAGGTAAATATAATTTGTAATCGCAATATAACTCAAAAATAAATTTTATTTTATAATAACGTCCGCACGGGTGTGTCCCACTTGGACGCCGACCGATTGGACGGTCCCGATTCGATGCGGTGCCGATTGGACGCGTCCCAATTCGAAGCTGTTAAATTTGGTTAGGTTAGGTTCTATAAGCTCTGACGGTGCTACCTGGGAGTGATACGACCTACTCCCAGGTAATTAAGAGGGCGATGGAAACTGTCGACAAGGAGCAGTTGAAGCAAATGGAGATTAAGGAGTTCCGCATCAAGAAAGCGGCAACGGGCGGACTCATCCTCGGCATCCCCGGGGATGAGTCGAAGGAGAAGGCCGGAAAGCTGGCCGAAAAGTTAAAGACAGCCTTCGACGGGACGAAGGTCAGGGTGGCCAACCCCATTCAAACGGCGGAAATTCGCCTGCTTGAGCTCGACGATTCCATCGAGTCCAAGGATGTTGTGGAGGCGCTGGCCACACTGGGAGGAGTTGGACCCCAAGAAATAAAAGTGGGCAACATTAGGAGATCCCCCAGAGCTATGGGGACAGTGTGGGTGAAATGCCCTGTTGCAGTGGCCCGGAAGGCCGAAGCATCCAAAAGGATATGCATTGGATGGTCGTCCGCGAGGGTTGATGTGTTGGAAGCAAGGCCGAAGCATTGTTTCCGTTGCCTGCAAAAGGGACACGTGGCGGCATAATGCGACAGTGACGTCGTAAGAAAGGGGCGATGCTTTGCATGTGGAGGAACGGACCACGTTGCAGCCGCATGCACGGCGAAACTCAATTGCCCACTCTGTTCGGACCTGGCCAGGCCGGCTGCACATAGATTGGGCACGGCAGATTGCGCGCCGGCCCCTTTTAACAATAAGAAGAAGAAGAAGCAGGGCGACAAAGTTCGCGAGACGGGGGAAGTTGCGGGGAACGTGCCGAAAGAACCTACGAATGCGTGTGAGAATGTGGATATAGCATAACCTGAGTCACAGAGTGAGGACGCCATGGAGGTGGCTGCTGAGGGGACCGCGTGATGGGGCCGCTGAGCCCCATTATACAGGCTAACGTGAACCACTCGGCCGGGGCGCAGGACCTACTGCTCCACACCCTCGCCGAGTGAGATTGTCCGCTTGGGGTGGTAGCGGAGCCCTACCGTGTCCCGGACCAGCCTAACTGGTTCGCGGATGCGGGGGGCTTCGACTCGTCGGTCGCTATCGTGGTGAGGGCAAAACCAGGTTCACCCCCCTGTTCCGCAATAGCCGCGGGGCGTGGGGCCGTGGCCGTCAAGTGGGGGGAAACAGCGGTGGTGGGCGTCTACGCACCGCCTCGTTGGCCTCTCGCGGAGTTCGAGGACATGCTTGATAGGGTGGGGCAGATAATATCTCAATGTCCCAGTCAACGCGTGTTAATTATGGGAGATTTTAATGCCAAGGCGCGAGAATGGAGGTCCTCAAGAACTGATGCGAAAGGTGAGGCGACCCTGGATTGGGCGGCGGCACACGGCCTCCTGTTGGTTAACAGGGGCCAGGTGAGCACGTGCGTGCGGCCCCAGGGGGAGTCCATTGTGGATCTCATTTAAGATACAGTAATTCTTTGCAGCATTCAGCAGCTGCCACGAATTCCGCTTCTGTGCTGGACAAGGCAATTATTGGTTGTTTCCTAGAACACCAGCTTACAGGACCTCCTGCATAGAATATTACAAATCCAGTGGTGCTCCGCCTCGTTTGAATGTCCCCAGCAAAATCCGAATCGCAGTATGCCTGTATTAAATCTGGTTTCGCATCTCTTCTATATTCAATTCCAAATTTCCGATTTCCATTCAGGTATTTCAAAATATGTTTAACGTCATTTACATTCTCTTGACCGTAGTTTTCAATATACCTGCTGCAGTAATTTACACCATATGAGATATCTGGTCTGGTTTTAGTAGAGAGGTACAGTAAACTTCCTATTACCTCTCTGTAAGGATAATTTAACTTCCTCTGTTTCGTGTCTTCTCTATTTGTTTTGATAATTGGAATGCTTACAGGTTTTGCACTTTCCATTCCATATTTTGTTAATATGCCTTGCAGGTATTCAGTCTGTGCAAGTTTTACATTTTCTTTATTTTGATGTACCTCTAACCCTACAAACATCTTTGGATTTTTCATCACAGTCGTTTTAAATTCCCTACTAAGGTCTTCTAAGATTACATCGATCTTTTCCTGATCCTCTCCTATCAGTATTCCGTCATCCACATAAATCCCCAGTATTATTTCACCTTTGTCTTTCATGAACAGGCATTGATCACTTTCCAATTGCCGAAATCCCTTGGTTTTAAGGTAAGTTGTAAATCTTATGTTCCACCTCAGTGGAGCCTGTTTCAGCCCATACAAGGCCTTTTTTAATTTAAACAGTTTCCCTTGTTTGTTATATCCTTCTGGAGGGTACATGTAGACTTCTTCCTCCAGTGTGCCGTAAAGAAACGCTGTCTTTATGTCAAATGTTGTAACTTTATATTCCTTTAAAACGGCTACAGCATAAATGCTCTTTATTGCACTTGCGCTCATCACCGGACTAAATGTCTCATCGTACTCGATTCCAGCTTTTTGTTCAAAACCTCTAACGACTAGCCTTGCCTTGTATGTTCCATCTTGTTTTATTTTAAATACCCATTTTCCTTTCAGAGGCTTTTGATTTTTCACCTTTGTGGCATCGATTTCTTCCCATGTTTCGTTACATTTTAAGGAATCCTTTTCATCATTTATGGCTTTTAGCCACTTGTGTTTGTCAGGACCGGTGATTGCTTCTTCATATGTCATCATAGCATAGTACCCATATCTGTCTGGTTTGGCTGTGATTCTCTTGCTTCTTCTAGGTTCTTGGTTCTGTGTTTCATGGGTTTCATTTTCTTCTTGTGCATCTGTGTATTTGTCACTATCCTCTTCCTGTTCTTCACTGCTTGATGTTCCTTGATCTTCGTGAGTCGATATTTCTTCCTTTTCTTCTTCTAGTTGCTGCTCTTTTTGCTTGTTTTCCTTTGTTTGTTCATCACACAATTTTATTAGGGTTCTTATCTTTGTCTCTCTATCTCTCTTTTCAGTAATCTCAAATTTTACATCTCGTGCAATTGTTATATTTCTTCTGTCTGAACTCCACAGTCTGTACCCTGTGGGTGCATAACCAACAAAGATCAATTCCTTGCTTCTCTCATCCAGTTTTTTCAAGGGCCCCAAAGTCTTCGCATGTGCGATACAGCCAAACAGTTGCAAGTTCTTTATGTTTGGCTTCCTTTTTTCCCACATCTCATAAGGCGTACAGTTTAATGCTTCTGTGGGGGTTCTATTTAATAGGTACGCTGAAATGTACATTGCTTCTCCCCACATTTCTTTTCCTAGGTTGGAGTCGAACAGCAATCTCTAACCTTATCCAGAAGCGACCTATTCAGCCTTTCAGCCCTGCCATTTTGCTGTGGCGTATACGGTACAGTGGTATCTAGTCGGATCCCAACCTCCTTAGTCCATGCTTTCACTGCATTATTGAGATATTCACCTCCATTATCACACCTCAGTGTCGATACTTTTAGGTTCCATTTTGCTTCTACTAATCTGACATATTCCTTTATCTTTTCAGCTACTTCAAATTTGTTTTTCAGCAGGAAGACCATTGTATAATGTGTGTAATCGTCTAGAAACGTCAAGGTGTATCACTTTTCATCCCATGTCATTGGATCAATGGGTCCGCATAAGTCGGTATGCACAATTTCCAGTGGTCTTTCTGCCCTCCGTCTTGACTTTTCAAACTTCAGCCTTGCTTGCTTTGCCTTTTGACAAATTTTGCAGAACGTATCTCCTTTAATTTCCTTTTCTGTCAGATTTATGCCATCTACCAGGTTTATTATCTTGTGTAGATTGTGCAGGTTGTTCACACTTATGTGCCCAAGTTTGCGATGCCATGTTTCAGTCTTATCTTGTAATTCCTCAGCTGCATACGAGTCTTCATCAGTCGCTGCCTCTAGTTTTATTTTAAACAATCCATTTTCTGTTTTTGTCCCTTTTAACACTGGCTTTTTATTTTTACTTATTATTACTTCGCTTCTAGTGAACAATACTTCTCCATTTTTCTTGGTTATTGCATTAACAGACAACAGATTTGCACTCAACTGTGGAACATACAGTACTTCTTCGAGTGAACACTTGTCAAAATTTATAGTACCCTTCGCAACTGCTTCCATTGCCTCCCCAGACTTGGCCACTCCAACAGTCGAATTTAACTCTTTCATATTTCTCATTGCTTTCGAGCTGTTTGTCATATTAGAAGTACTTCCAGAATCAACTATCCAGGTGTTTTTATCAGGATATTCAAAAGTCAGAAAGGCTACTCTGTTGGGGCACTAGGATCTTCCTGTTTTGTTTCTGAAGAAGCAGTTCTTTTCAAGGTGGTTTGTCTTTTTACAAATTCCGCATCTTTGGTCTACTGGATTTTTTATTTGGTGGAACGTTTTTGCAGTGTGCCCTATTTTATTGCACTTGAAACATTTTTTCACGTTTCTATCCTGATTCTGTGGAACTCTCTGGTTCGCTGTTGCACTTGGGCTGTTTTTTCCGTATTTGGTATAGATTTTATCTGTTGCTTTAAACGCTAATGGTTGCTCCTGATCTTGCTTTTGGACTCTTGTTTCTTCATCTATTAATCTTGCGGTTAAGTTTTCTAACGTTTTCTCGGACTGTGCAGTGGATTCCCATGCACTTACAAAGTGTCCATATTTGTCTGGCAGCGTTGCCAGTATTTTTGAAATTAACATATTATTATCTAATTTAGTGTTTAACGCATTTAATCTAAACGCCATATTCTTTAGACTACTGATGTGTGTCGCAATATCTTCATCGGCACTAAAGGTTTTATTATAAAATGCTTGAAGCAAACTGCACCTTTGCTGATCACTTTCTTTTTCATAGATTTGATGTATTTTAAGCCACATCTCATTTGCTGTTTTACAATCTATTATATGTAATAGGGTCTTTTTACTAACAGTTGCAACTATACATTTTTTCGCATTTGCGTCTTTCCTTTGCCACGCAGCTGTTTTCTTACTATCATCTAATTCAGCCTCACAAACATTTTCATACAGGTCGTTTGCTTCAAGCATGATCTTAATTTGGAATTTCCACATTTGAAAGTTTTCGGAATTTACTAATTTTTCTATATTCCTTCTATATTCGATAATTCCTCGACATGCGTTGCCATTCTATCTCTATTTTTATTTTATATTAGTCCCTCAATTTCTCAAGTGATATCAATTCTTTCTTTTCTCTTCTTTATTTCTGTTTATTATTTCTTTCCTCTTTTTATTTTATTTATTGCAATGACTGAGCCCATAACCTGTTAAAATTTACGAAGGAGGTTAGGGCTGGTTATGAAGAAAGAATTGATACGTGTTTTAGTTTATTTAATACTATAAATACTTTATTCAAATAGAAGGAAAAATTTTAAACGATAACATAATAAAATTAGTCTGGTAAATATAATTTGTAATAGCAATATAACTCAAAAATAAATTTTATTTTATAATAACGTCCGCACGCTTACCTATGTACCGAGACAAGAGAGCGAGCCACGGACAACGTGTGCCCACTTCACGGCCTATGTTCGCGACGACCTCTCACGCTCCTGCGCGCTCTTTTCAAAAACCGTGAGCCGCGTGATGATTATTTTTAACACTATCTCTTAATCTTACGCGAATGGAACTTTTACCATCGTATTTGTTTCGTTTTTCTGATTAAAATAACACCAAACACGATATGATTACGATCGTAATTACTTATGTAACAAGCCATAAAAATTTCGGGCTTTCACACTTACAGCAAACTATTACATTTCACATTAACGGCAGAGATACGAATTACTCCTAACGGCCTCCTAACGGCTTGCTATACAAGTAATTATGATTTTAATTGTACCGTGTTTGGTACCATTTTAGTCAGAAAAACAAGACGAATACGATAATCGAAGTTTCATTCACGGAAAACCAAAAATAAGGAATTTTGATTTGTGAATTTAAAAGACAGAACACGCACGAGTCTTTCATGTTTGTCGAACCTCAGTCCCTCTTTGTCTTTGTGTTGCTGTCTTTTTCTATGTTCGGCTCACTACAAAGAATGTAGTGAGTAGTACCCATTCCATAAATGTTACAATCGAGACCGGCAATTGTATTTACAGAGGGAATACTGTACTGTATTTATCTATTATTTTTTTATGTTTTTTTATACTATCGCTATAATTTATTTTTTAATAATGTATTTTTGTGTTTTATTTTAGGATCAGCAGGACCTCGATTCATCGAATTCTACAAAAAAATATGATGCACCCATACAAATATGTACAGGTGCTGTAAGGATGGCTTAAATAAAATTTCAGAATCGATGTAAACGTGTTT